TTTTGCTCCTCCTTGGCAATGTTGTCTAGCATGACTCCTCGGATGTCCTTGGGCTTCCCTGGCACACCGAACATGATGAACAAGCCCAGGCAGTCCCATCCCACCAGGTGGCAGAACTCCGCCAGCTTCTCAAACCTGCTCCTGTTTTGGAAGCGCTCGTCTGCCGACACGGCTTCCCGGCGGCAGTCCTCTACCGCCTCAGTGGGGCCGCCTTCGCTACGGAAAAGCTCAGCCAGCTGGAAAGCCTGCACAGCGATCTGAAGTTGGATTTGCTTGTCAGCTCCAGACAGAGTCCAGATCCAGTCCACCCCGAACAGGGAGGACTGCTGCTTGGTCATTTTGCTGGTTGTGATACGTTCCTCCACTCCCTTTTCCATGCAGAAGCTGATGAAGTTGACCAAAAAGATCTCGCTCAGCATGTTTGTGGCTGGCTGGAATTTGCTCTGAGGATCCACAAAACCAAGATAGTCCTTCAGCCTTTGAGATGCATGGACCACGCCTTGGCTGAAGACTTCACAGATGACTAGAGTTTCAGCCTTGTTCTCCTGGTGAGAGACCCTCTGGCCCATTTTCCGTGCAGGAGGAGGTCATTTCCACGTGCAGACCACCTCAGGGAAGTCACTTCCTTTTCCAGCAAAGGCTCTGTAGGCGCTGGGCTAAGCCAGACCTCTTGAGCATGCACATGGTTACCTGCCACCTTCCAGATGAAGGTCACGGTAGCGGCAGAGCTGAGCTCTGTGAGCAGGCTGCCGTGCCGTGGGGCAGCCGGGCTTTCTCCTGGGTGTGCTCCTCCGCAGCTCACCGAGCAGCGACCAGCCCGACAGGCCCAGTAACTTTCACATCTACTGAATTCATCTGTGCTTGTTTTCCTTATTGTTAATTCCGGCACCATTTCTTTAGCTGATGCTATCTCATTCCAGTCTGATCTTATCTCCTTTGATCTCCTTTCTAGGACTATTATGGAGAAGCCATTTTATTGGCACTGGGTGTTTCCTGGAGATGAAACAACTTTTTTCTTTTAATCCCCCAGAGAAGGGTTCGCATCCAAACGCGAAGACTTCTACAGAGTGCTTGAAATGACGCGGTGGTCTTTTTTGATGGGCCGTTGCCTGTATCCCAGTATTAATTGCTGCTACTGTCAGTGGCATTAGTTGTGCCATGGCAATGCACACGGACTCAGCTGGACTTCTGGCTCAACTGAGAAGCTTGCGCTGTTGCTGCCTCTAACTGGATTATCTCAGGGACGCTTGGACAGTCAATGCACCACCACGCACGACTATCAAATACAGCTACAAATAAACAAGCTTCCTAATCTTAAAAAATCCAGTCTCCCTAGCTGTGAAAGCTGGAACGTATGTTACCGCTGCAGCAGGAGCCACCCCTGTTCAGCTCTGGATATTGCTGGTGCCAAATGCACCACTATGGTCTCTTCATCGGCCCAGGATCTCACCACCATTCTCAAGAAACAGGCTCTGTCCTGCCGAACGCTGCTCTTCCTCCTCCTCTTCATTCTGAATGAGTGAAAAAAGTGTTGAGGATCTGTCTTTCTCTGCCCTCTTTACTCTCATTGCTCAAAACACCTCCATCTGATCTCTCTCTCCTTCTGCCTACAGATGTTTATGTGCTCCTGCCACCCCAGGGAAACACCTTCTCAGGTACACAGGCTGGTCAGTCCTGCTGCTGCCCTGGGTCCCTCTCTCTAAGAAACAGATCAAGTCCTACATATTATGTGTCTTTTCATCCCATCCACAGGTCTTCAAATGTGTCATGGGCCCACCTGCATTCCTTCGTGACCTTCTCACAGCTATGATCAGGGAGCACGCTGCTTCTTCTCCTGTTATCTCTGACTAACTCTAATTTCCTTTCTATTTAAGGGTTCCCCAGCACCTAATACTCTCTCCTTGCTCGAAATCTACTGGCAACTCAGAAGGTTTTGCTTCTTAGCTGCCTCAAAGAGCACTATCTTCTTCCTCCCAACTGAGGATAAAGAGGCTCAGTAGGAAAAGCTCTTGTTGCAAGTGAAAATGCCAAAATACTGAGGTGAAGCATAAAGTATGCACTAAACATTCGTAACAACAAAGCGGTACAAGGTATAAAAAGCATGCAGGTAGGGTAAGTGCAACTTCTCTCCTAAAGGGAAAGCCAGGATGCAACAATAGCTAGTGGATGAGGATCAGAAGAGTCATTCCAGAGGTTATTCTGTATTACTTCTCCATTCCTAAGCATATATGTAATTTAAGCGAACAGAAAAAAAGCTGGGTTTAATCTCCATAGGCTCTCGATCGATACACATCTATCTTTTCCTCATCACCGTAAACAAACAGACAACTAAAGTTTATTACACTCTAGGTTTCAAAGTGTTTATCCTCAGTGTTCCCACTGAAACGTTGAGCTGATGAACAAACCCACAGAAATGAACGTCACGAGATAGGGGTTCTGCATTCTCTGGTCCGTTATCTGGGCTACACTGGGCAAAAAAAAATTGATCATCACTTGTACCTGCACCCCAGCAACAAAATGTAGTTTGGGGAAGCTCAGCTCCTGTTGGCAAAGTAGGTGCAGCTCCTATGACTGCTGAGGGCTGCGAGGGCACGGGGAGGGGAACGACACCTGGGACCAGAGAGACGGTTGCCCTTTACGGTGAGAAGGGCCAGAGCTGGTCCTTCCTTCAGCACCTTGCGAGGACTCGCCGAGGAGCGCACACCGAGCAAGGGGGAACACTTTCTAATCACGCCATACCAAACAACCCAAGATGGTTCAAATCTGGATCCCAGAAATAAGTAAAAACACTTAGGATAGATGATTTCTTAGCTGTTAGCTGAGTCTTTCTGCAGGCACTATCGACAAACAAACTAATCAGTCCACAAAAAACGTGCGATTTTGCCCCTTCTCCTTCCTTTGTCTTTTAAATAGTACAAAACGAGCTTCCTAGGAAAATAAGGAAAAAAAGAGGATACATTAAAAAGGAACCAGCTTCCAGAAACACTTGGCATTTTCCACAGACTTTATTGGGTTTTACATGGCAATACACAGTAATGTTGCCCTCTTCAAACACGCACAAATTAAAATACTCCAACGGTATCAATTGTGCACATTCACACATAAACTTCCTGACTGTATCACTTGCTTTCGTATTCCACTCCCATAAAATAACCAAGGTTCGGATGATAGGCAGCTTCAAAGGGACGACCTGGTTTCCAACTGGTAAACGCAGGAAAAAGGTTGTTTGGAGAGAACGCTACTTACACTGGACTTAAAATAAACCATCATCTGCCGTTGCCGATACGCTTGCTAATACATTTGGTAATAGCACCGCACTGAAGAGAAAAGGGAGAGTATTTGTGCCTATTTCAGCACACAATAATGTGTCACTAGCCCCCTTTTTTTTTTCTTTCCCCACTGAATATCCAGTCGTTATATTCATTAGCCAGTGTCTAGTGAGAGTGAATCTGGAGGAATACCTTTGCTCAGAAGCCTGCACGTCTTCCCAGTGCTTCTGCAGCATTTGGGAGGGCAGGGTCTTAAGTCCAACTTACATGTAAAACAATAACCATATTGCAAAGTACTCACAGAAAACGAGCCCTGAATTCACATCCCAAGCATTTGCACCTTAAAGCTGACGGCAGGCCTTACACAATGTGGTATTTCTGCCCGAATAAAATAGCTCCAACACCCCCAAGACTGCAGAGGAAGAAACAACAGGCGGCAAATTATTTGCAGACATTACTTCGTCAGGAATTTTGAATAAAGCATCAGTTGTGATTTGCTTGTAGACAAATGGTAAGCAGCACAAACTATTTTATGTATACATAATGGATTGTTTGCCTGGCTCCAGACACTAAAGAGAAAATGGCAGCACTTTATATTACGTATAACACAACCAGTCCATGTAAAAATTTTCATCTTGGTACATAAATAATAGCCTACACTGCACATCCTTCAAAGAACCAGGCTGGTAATAGCTTATCAGGTTACAATAATATAATGCTAGAATATGTTTCCAATCTACCCCAACATCTGACGGGAGCTCCCTGGAAGCCCCTGAAAGAACCTTTCTTCCTTTCCTGGCTTTGTTAATAGCGTCTCAGAAACACCCACAAAGTCAGCACAAATCTAACATCCCTTGCACCACCCCAGCGGTGTGTCGGAACCGGTCTCACTTCCAGCAAGGAGAGCGATGAAATGAGTGACAAACGCTTGGTAAAGGAACACACCACCGCAAGGAACAATTCCAGCTGGACTTTTTTTTTGCCTTTACAAAGCAAAGAAGCTTCATGCCATTGTGCTAAAATACATGCAACGTTCAACACCATACGAATGACCACTGTGATAAACAGAGTTACTTTTTTTTGTTTGCTTTCAGCTAGGACGCCTCGCAATACCGAAAGGCTGACGAAAGATTTCCACTGGCTAGTTAGGATTTTTAAAATCTGGCGATCTTCAAAAGCAGAGGAGCTGTGCTTTAAGAAGGTAAAATGACAAGCAACATGTTTGATATTTGAATTTTTGAGGAAAAGTCCCACCTCAGGTTTAATACTATGAAATAATATATTTCCTATACACTTCTCTATAGAACTTTATTTTTTTGCAACTACACCATCTTTATGTTAGACACAGCACAGAAATATCCCTTCCATATGCAGGGCGTACTCAACTTTAAGGAAATTTTTTAAGTCACAGAAGTGTTAATAACCTTGTTTGAATGCTATAAATACTGCTGCTGGGAACAAGAAAGAAGACGTTTTAAAATGTGCAGTTTCTGTAAGAGTCACTGCTAGAAGAAACATGCTTAATAATTGTTTCATCCCAAATGGAAGATCATTAAACTGTGCACTTCGTAAAAAGCAATGAAAGCAAACAGTTCCAAAGGTCAGCCTGCCTTTTCCAGTAACCAGCTGGTATGCAAACTGGCATAATCTTTTTACAACCCTCTCCCCTTCCCCCACACCTTGAACTTTCCATCACTCTATCTCACAAAGTTTAAATTTTTCCTTTTATATGTACTTCATATACTACTTTTTTCTTTTTTTTTTTTTTTTTTTTTTTTTTTTTTTTTTTTTTTTTTTTTTTTTTTTTTTTTTTTTTTTTTTTTAATAAAACAGTATAAAAATATAAAAATAAGAGCAACAGTCAAGAGCTACCAGGGAGTTTATGCAAGACATGGATGACTCAAATCCTACACTGGATACCGTAGGAAGGGCAGAACTGGTATTTGTGCTGAACAAATGCACTTGAAAAAGAGCAGTGGCATCTTTTTTCAGCTGAGAGCCTAGAGAAAGCTGATGCACAATATCTACAGATGCAATACTTCTACCTAACATCTTCTGTTACTTTGAAACAGTATAAAGGATTATCTGAGGTCATGAATAAGCAAAAGGAGCACTGTGATACCACATAAATTTAAATGCAACACTCTGAAACATATCACCAGTTTGTACATTAAATATAGTAAAAACAATTACCATTTACCAGTGTCTGGGTGTTTCTTATGGCAACTTTAGAGTAGGCACCTTTTTTTTTTTCCCCTCCTTTTTTTTTTTTTTAAATTCTCCACCCCCCCAATATTACTTCTAACAAACAGAAGCAAGAGCAATGTAATGTACATGATCTGCTGTCCGTCACGTATAACGATGACGTTTCTTGCACATAGGAAAGTGAGCCTTTGTCAGTGCCGGGTGGTTACCGTCACACATTGGAGTCCTCATCTGTTATACTGGTGCTAGGAGAGCGAGTCGCAAAGTCTTTAAACATTTCATCTTCTTTCAACATGTGCTAGAAAGGAAAGGAGGGAAGAGTCAAGGTTCAGGCCCTCACAACTGAAATCAAGCACCTGGGACGGTCCAGTCCTGTGCCCAGCAGCAAACAGCGCCGTCAGCCCTGCCAGCCACATCTTTGTTCTGCTGAGGACCTTTTTCACCTGTGCTGGTTCCTGACCGGCGTGGGGCTCAGTTGCCTTTCTGCTGGCCCAGACGGCTGGGAGAGCGCAGGCTGGGGCTGGGCTTCCACCAAGAAAACGCACCATGACTCTCAGTTGGCAACCCACTGCTTAGAGGTGGGTCCTCTGCCCTCCCTGGAGGGTGGAGAGTCAGCAAAGAGGGCTGGTGACCACGGGCCACCACTCCCAGCCGGGGGAACCTCCTGGCCAGGATGTGCGGGTGTCTTCCTCAACCGCTAATTTTTCTTTTCCCCTCTGTCCCTGTACAAAAACCAAAGGACCTCGTCTAACCCCTAGTTCTGATGAGGCTTCACCACACCCATAGTCTGCACAGTATTTGACATGCTTTAGCCCTCAGAGACCAGTGGGCGCTTCACTCTATCCAAAGACGAGGTCCCGCTATGCACTGAAATCAATCAAAGCAATTGCCCCCAAAACTACAAAACTCAGCTGCTTAACAGAGCCAGTAATAGTGAAGAAAAGTTGTACTTAGTGTATTTGTATTAAATAGCGGTGCTATTTAACGCAAATATTTATATTAATAGCACCGCTATTTAATACTAGCGACTGCCAAGGGGTTTATATCCATCTTACAGAAACAGAGATCTTATTCCACAGACCCCACTTCTAAGCCTTACTGTCAAGTTGTTGATGCCTTCAGAAAACGCTCCTATTTGCCTCACTGTCCCTTCTGAATCTTCCATCTACAAAAAACAGATAATGAATAATGAATGCATAATGAATTCATTGTATGCCATGACAGAGTGGCAATTAAGTGCAGCAAATAATGTAACTGCTTGATTACACTCTGTATGGTCAAAGCAAAGGAGGAGAGAGGAGGACAGTTATGCCAGAGTTAGGTCCTAAAGGCGCTGCATTCACAACTTGAACCTCCTTGGGCTGAGAGACACATTTGTTAGTGGTGCTGTGTGACTGCCACAAGTCAGGACCTTCACGGGCCAAAGCGAAAGGAAGGTTTCCCTGTGAAAAGAAAGGTTTTTCCCCCAAACCTAACAGCACAGTCAAGGACTCCGAACTGCTAGAACTCGCTTACCTGCTCCAGCCTGTCCAAATCGTCATCGTCATATACTCGGATATCCAGGCCAGGCTTAAAACCCTTCTTCGACCCACTTCCAGATGCCCGCCCCAGCTCCATAGGACACACATACTCTTCCACATCATCTTGCTTCTTCTTCCTCAGGCTCCCAAAATTGCTGAAGGCAAGTTTCTTTGGCTTACAAGTGAAGAGAAAATTGACAAGAAGTTAGAGAGTCAGCAAAGAATTAACAGATCTCTTCCTCTTGCATTGTTGTTTCAATGATGAAGGGTCAAAACCCCACTGCTCTCCTAAACAAAGATCTTCTGAATAGCTGTATTTCACAATAGTAGCATCCAAAAGAACAAGATGTGTTCCCTAATTCTACCACTGTTAAGAAAACACCATTTAAAGGATCTCAAATGAGATCAGAATCCCACTGCATTAAACCATGAGCATATAAACAGTAAGAGACAGTCTCCTTCCCAAACATCTTATAGTACAGACAGAAGGACAACACACAAGAGTGCTACCTCTTGTCTGTGCATATGAGAGGCTGAGACGTGGTGCATTCACGGTAGACACAAGTGTCAAACCCAGATCTGCTGAGTCCTGCTCTCACGCTTCTTTCATTAGCAGCCAGCCCCTTTTCTCAGACCTTACTGAATTGCCCTCCAGTCATGGATAAAACCAGCACACTGGAGATCTAGATGTCTGCCTGGAAGCTCACGCACCAGCTCAGAACAAGTGACCTACCTTTACTTTGGCAGTTGCTGTTAAGAGGACGTAGTCTGGGGACTCCATGGCTTCGCGCTTCTGCTGCTGGGCCTCCTGCCCAATGAGGAGGTTGAAATGAGTTGCCAAGTGCCGTCTCAGTAGCGTCTTGTTTGGTGGGATGTTCAGCAACTGTGCCATGGTTTCCACATTGAAACGAGGCTCCAAAACCTATTAATCAAATCACAGAGAATCCAGTTGAAGCCAGTGCTATCTGATGAGGTCTCAAGGACATCAACAGGCACACCTATCTTGGTCACTTCCTAAGGTTGCGCTGGGGTTTTTGTTTTTATCTTAGAGGAAACATACAACAAAGAGAGAGAAAAGAGAGTTAACTAGTTAAAGGATTCATAAAGTGCTACCTCCAAGCTTTCCCTCTTGAGTTATAAATAGAAACAAATTGGCAGTTAAGAAGAAAGGAACAGGTAAATCCACCCTTAACTCAAGTAATATGTGAAGCTGCCACAAAATATTTACCCACCATCCTCTAATTCTGGAAAACATAGCCAGAGGTATGATGGAAAATAATCAGACGTAAGATGTTTGGAGCAGGGATATACATCTTCATCACCACAACAAACTTTTGCAAGTATAAATCTCTTGCCTGGAGTATCTGATGCTAGAGCAATTACAAATAATCCTGGATTGACATTGAAATCGCAAATTTTACAGAAGTAACAAGCCTTCCTTGTTACTAGCCTATCCAGGTCTAAGAAGGAAGATAGTGGCTGTTTAACAGCATGATAGCAGTGTACAGCATCGTAGGACAGGAGGTGGAGAATGCCATACCTAAATTAAATTGTGAGGGGAATACAGATAATCAAACCCATTGCTGCCCACACTAATTCTGCCCAAAATAGTAATGTCCTTTAAACTACATGGTAATAAATTTTGATAGTGACTTCTTATGAAGCAGAACAAGAAGATAAGGTGTGTGCAGCAAATATGTCAGAACTTTGCTCTAGCGATTCTCAGCCACATTTTTTTAAATAAAATGGAATAAGCCAGCCTAAAACCTTACCATCAGTCCCCCATGCACACCACTCCCCCGCAGATTAGGAGCATACTCTGCCAGATCAACGGAGCGTAACCACTCCATCACACGATGATTGGTCCACTGGGTGACCTCAGAAGGTGTGACGTTATTCTGTGAACAGAAGGAACGGGCAGTTAAGGAGACTTCCCGACTCTGCTGTCCCAGCCCCAACCTTTACTGAAACAAACCTCTCCTGCCCTTAATGAATGCAAGCTCACTTTGCACTTGAGAAAAAAACTTCTTTTTGGATTGCTATCTTGCAGCAATACAAATGTGGAGATGGGTCTGGACAGTGGGCAGGTCTGTATTATGCTTCATGCCATTTGATTATCCTGCTGTGCACGAGGACTACTTGCAAATTCTACCAGTAGAACTGAAGATTTAACTAGCTCCATGAGCCACTGTGCTTTTCTTGCAGATATGTATCGTGAATCTAAATCCAAGAGTCTGGGTTGCTTCATCATCCATTGCCCTATACAGCTACGCTGCTTCCAAAACAAACTGATGGCAGTCTCTCATCTGGTAACAGGGCCAAACTCCTTTTACACAGAAAATTTTGACACAGCCATCAATTTTCCAGAGAGTTACACAAGACTCACGGCAACAGTGCACTGAGTTTAAGATGATTTATGTTCCAGACAGCACATCAGAGACTAAGCTAGAACAGCCAGCTGCTGGCTAGGAAGAAGAGTAGGAGATCTGGCAAGGGGACGTGAGTCTGGGGCCATGACAGGTGGAGGAAAGAAAGTGGTGTTCCAGGTAGTGATGGCAGAGCATGAGACTTGGAAGAACAACATGAGAAAAAGGAAACCAAAAATGAAACGGAATGAAATAGGAAGGAGGAGAAAGGAGGAGAGGGCAGAGCAGGAATAATCAGAAACACCAGGGAAAAACCGTAGAGGATTCCTCTTCACAGTTTCATCTTAAAGCAGTACCTCGTCAGACGGCCTCCTGCGCAGACAGTTGGGCTCAAAGTTATTTATTCTCAAAACCTGAATGGCTCTTTTGATGCTGAGGTGGTGGAGGACACTAACAACTTTCAAGGACAGCAAGTCATCCTGCCAAAGAAGAAGAGGGAGTTAATAAACATAAACATGCTTATTGGTGGAACCAGCACCTGACTGAAGGAGACTGCTTCAGACCCTGGCTTAAAATGGCATATCTGACACATTCTGGGGTAAGATTTTAATATGTGAGACACATGATTAACGTCAAACCATCTGTCCCAAAATAAAAGCTTCCTGTGTTGCTCTGTACCAGCTCCTGGGCGATGTTCTTCACACAGGGTACAGAGCTTAGTACAAGAAACCTGGGGTAACAAGCAGGGGAGAGGGTGAGATGACATATCCTCAGCGATCTGATTAGAACCACGACAGCTTTCCAAACACAGTGCATCAGACTCACCTGGCATTTGCATTTAATCCTGCCAAAAGTTTTAATACCACAAATGTCCAGCTAAAAGTTTAACTGAAAACAATAAATCAACCTGAAAATGGAGGCATTCTGTACGGTCAGAATGAAAAAAAAGAGGGAAGAAGAAAAACAGAAGGTGTGTCAGGTTGGTTTCCCAGAACTGCAAATGAGAAATGTTTTTTTAAAATGCTTGTCACAGTGATGGAACCATGGAAAGGGTGACCATACCCAGGCTGTGGAGAGGCTCACCTTAAGTCTCCTTGCCCCAGCTCACCATCACTGTGTAGCTCCTACCTTGTGCAGGCACTTGCTACAGTTCGAGGGAAGGAGGGCAGGTTGGCCAGGAGCACCGATTCCCCCTCACATGTGCCGAAGGAGCACGCTGGACACACGGGCAGCCTGAAGGTTGGCTCTGTGACAAGGCACCTCAAGGCAACTTGGCTGTGCCTTTACACCACACCATTTTCAGCACGGGATGAGCCACTTCTCACACATTGTAGGGCAAGAGCCTGCAAAGGCAGGGCCACATTCCTCCCTGCAATGCATCGGTAATACTAACAAAAGCAGCTGGTTCTTTCTCCAAAAGCTCAATCCTCGCAATGTTTTTTACTTAAACAGTCATCTCACGGGGAACTTATTTTATAGCTCGCACAGACTGGCTGTTTAGGCTCCCACCAGTGTCCGTGGAAAGCGTCAGGCATCTCTTAGGACAATTTGTGCCATGCTAAGGAATGAGACAGTGCCTCACAGTGCCCCCCTCTCTGCACTGACCACAGGGCACTGACGACTGCTTTTGGCTGGACAGGTAGCTTTTGGATGTCAAGAGCTGGCAGAGATGAGTTCCACCCTTCATGACTACAGTAGCAAGCAGGAGTTTTGCTTTGGCTCCACTGAAGTTCCCTCTTCTCCTTCTTGTACTCAGAGCTCCTTCAAATCACCAAGGAGGGGAGAGACAGGCCCTTCTGGCACCCAAGGGGGCTCAATTCACAGGACACATGTGGTGGACAATGGCGAAGGAGACAGAAGGTTCAGATGAGGCTCCCAGATTAAAAAAGGCTGCTGACGCTACCCAACACCCTGACCTGCTGACAGGTTTGCAACCTAAGAAATGCAGATGTCGTCACATTTTGCCCACCTCTGATTTCATTCCACTGACGAGCCCCACAAATTTAGCATTTCAAAAACAAAATAATCAGATTTTCTCTCATTGAAGAAGCCAAGCCATGAAAAACTTGTAAGGAGGAGTACGTGACAGGCCTGGCTAGACTTTCCAGCTCGCATCCTGCTGCTGCTGCTCCACAGGAGTGCTACAAAAGAAAAACCTCCCGTGCACTGCAACTGTGATCACGTGCTGTGAGACTTGCATT